TTTATTTTCTGTGTCGTCTTGCCCTTTGTCCCACCTGTAAAACCCCCTCTGCTACCATTCACCATATGACGTGGTTCACAAGGTAGCTCAAGTTAGTTGTGGGTCCTGCTCCCCATCGTTGCCGATCTTTCAATTAACAGAAAGGACCGAAAAGTCGAAATTGAAGAACTCCAGTTGAGAGGGTCATAGGCTGCCCCATCCGACCTCGCACCATCGTGTTTTCCAGCAACTACAAAGAAGATGTTGTTCTTGCTGAACAGTTTAAATCCGCATTTGTTGGGGCCAAGTTGTTCTCCCCTACTTCTGCGGTCATCACACAAAAAGAGAATGGTCCTATTCTTGGTGACCTCCCTACCACTTTCATCAATCTTGCCTCAGATAGCAATTTCTAGGTGCATTTTTTACTAGTCTGACCGCAGCTTTATCGATCGCTACATCTCATTTTCGGTCATGAGGATTCTCCGGGTGCCTCAGTCTAAATTGGAGGACGCACATCCACCCTCCTCCCGTTCTACGTTGCCGCGAGGAAATAGACATGGACAAGCAGATTTGCCGTTGCTAGGGAAAATAAAATCTGGTATGGGTCCTACCACCACTTTCTGCGGGACTGACAATTGACCAACTGGTAGCTCTAACCACATGTCTGTCTGGACTCAAACTAGAATAATCCTTTCGTTCATCGACTTCGCTCTTAGACCAACAGGCTGACGGTTATCATTTCCCCACATGACGGATCAGGAAACAGGAAATGTCAAAATTATAATTTGGGTGCATGTGTTTTAGTAAAATTTACTACGTCAGACAGGGCCTAAGGCAGTGGGATCCTCAGTTTGCTTGGCGACAGCCTGATCGTTACGACGGGTGGCCGGCGGTTGCTTACTCAATCGCTGCTGCAGGGATTGTGCAGCACACCAAACTGGAGAAGACTATGAGCGAGTCCGACAGCACTGAGAGGTCGTTTCGGGGTCCGGGATGGGCAGAGCATAGCACAGTCGTCTTTGATTTACTTGCGCCCGTCTGTTCATGCGCGAGGAGGCGTGCGCGCGCGCGTACGTCGGGTCGGACAAAGCTTGGATTAATTTCAGTCAAGCCGCGATGGTTCTGTTTTGCGCGCCACCTTCATCCGTACGCGTCTCGCGCGCTCGATTCATTCGTGCTTTGGCGCGCCCACAGGCATTATTGTCAGCACGTGCAGGCCTCTTTCATTGCTGCGGCAGCCACCGATGGCAGCGTTAGAATCCCCTCTTGCGGTAGAGTTGCTCACCTTTCTTTGATCTTCCTTCACTCTCTTTCTCTCTTCTCGCCTCCACCCCCCGGATGGGATTGGGACCTTAATTATCAGGCCTAATGTTTTACACGTCAAGTGGGCAGAAGGCGAGTGCCGCCATTGATGTGGTGGGTTCTGCGAAGATGTCTTGTTTACCTTTTTAACCAAAACGGCATTGCATCCATTTGGGCCTGTGTTTGTGTGTAGGCTGAACTAAAAGGCGCCTTCAGTCTGCAGGAGGCTGCCGATAGGGTGGGGTACTGAAAGGCGCTCCTCATAAAAGCCGAATTGGCTTAGATCGCGAAACAGGTGGACGATGTTCACGATGTCGCATGGGAGTGCCATTCGCCGACATATTTCGATTTCAGGACAGAAATTGGTGCCTGCTTTTGACCCTGGAATTCTGGAATACACCTCACGCCCGCGGTCGCGTAGTGACTAGCAATCACTCATCAACTATTATCGATGACACCGGCATGGACAATGAGATGAACATTTCCGACTTGTTTGTTGGCATAAGCCACTGGTATTCCAAGATCAGGCGTTGGCGCATCCAAAGTGTAAATTAAATGCTAGATGCTTACCTGGTCCTTAGGAACTTCAGTACTTGCTACTGACTACCAGTGGCTGGTGGCTGCTAGTAAGCCCAAGTAACCACTCCACTGTCCCCTAAGTTTGTCTCGACCACCTCCGGAGTGCCCAAGGCGTGCTCGTTTAGTTGAGCACGCCAGTCCCGTGTACGCACAACTTTTGGTAATCAACCAGTTCCCGTCCATTTGTTTTTTTTCGGCTCTGCATTTTCCGATGCACTCTACTGAAAAGCAGGAGTAAGCGTCATCCTACCCAGCCGCCTACTTGCGGTGCTCACTTTACTTGATGGAGTGCGTTTCCACGCGCAACATGCAAAATCCAGCTTGCCGGTGATTAAATGTCCCCTCTTAGAAAGCTTTGACGTGTACTGAATTAAAGACTATCCGAAGCATCATCGGTCTTATACGGAAAACCCGTGAACGTAGTTTTAGCTCAACCAATTCTGGCCCCTCCAACAGAGGAATCATAAGCAGAATGCCAATGCAGGATTGCTGGTAACGACTACAATGCTATCAACTGGGAAATTCGGATGAGGGCGCTAGCTGAGCATAATTTAAATGTGGTTGAAAATATAACCAAACCCAAACTAAACATTTTAACAGACACCGTCAATTTGACAGTACACAGTCTGCCATAATGAAACCCCGCAGATCTACAGCTTGACAGCCGTCAGCACAGGATCGGATTTGATACTGTGAACATCACATCTGTAAGAGGGGTATTTACTGATGTCCGAACGATGAGACATTAATCTTTTATGGGGTAATCTCACTGTCCATAAGGCCCAAAGGACAACTAACCGCCTATGCGCCAAATCCTCGAAGAAGACTAGGCACGTGTTCTCAAGACCGTCCTCCAGACTGCAGGCAGAAGTATTCAGTTGAACCCTCAACAGCTCTGGGAATAAGAGGAAAATAAGGAGTGCACTACAGTTCCCTCAATCCTGCACATCTTGACGGACAAGCGAACTGAACAAAGTATTATTCTGAACAAATAATGAAGCAATATTAATTGTACTCGACACTTGGTGGAATCTATGAATTCTAAAGTGATGGGATCTTACGGTCTTTTAAAAGTGCAAATAGACAGTTCAATGACCGCCGAAACTTCTGAAAACATCATATCGAAGGCGTTAGTGGCCTGAGGACCAAGTATGACAACGTCCGACTGTACCTCGATATCTATTTCCTTTCAATCCCCTGCCACAACGAAACACGGTGGAACGTACGATGGAATTCCCCAAGAAAAGGCCCAGAATAGTGAACCAATCTGGAGGCAGAACATTTCACTGAACGTCTAACCATTTTCTCTGGGTTTGTCTTTATCTTTGTTGGGATGTCCGCGGAAAAACCAAGAAAGTAGATATGGATTAATCATTCTCCACTGTGATCGACGCATATATCATCTGAATTTTTTCAAGTAGCAACTGAAGTTTTGAGCATCTTATGTTCATGACACTTTAGGGCTTTCCGATGTAACATATTCGGACAGCGTATATGACCTTTTGAATGGTAAACATTCTTGTAAAAGGGACAGACTTCAACAATATTCAGGGAGCCTTCAGCAAGTCACAAGTAGGACAAATTGAAACAACCTAATCCTTTCCTCCAAGCACAATTGCAACTTCAAGAAAAAACAGCGCTTGGAGACGTACTGCAGTACAGTTGGCATCAAGAGAGTCCCATAATTATCACTCCGGTACCTCTTTTGAGCGACTGGATTGGACAGTCATATTTTCAAGCTGCGCAGCCTGTCGACAGTTTGTCTAACAACCAGGTGAATGACGGTCCAAAGTTTTGAAAAGTAGACACTACACCATCGGGGTTTTCGAGGTGGCCTGTCGACTGTTGCAACACAACCGACGGCTGCAGATCCAATGACGACCGGTCACAATTCCCCACCAAAATGGCTGGAGAGTTGTGAATCCTTTCGTCGAGGGACAAGTTCATCGACTAACACTTCTGTGGAAGAACTCCCTATGCAATGGTGCAACAGTCGCACGGAGCAGTCAAGCCTTTGCTTTTACAACTGAGGAGGCTACGCTGATTGAAGGTTGACCGCTCCCAGTTTTAGAAGTTACGGCGGAAAATCCCCAACACGGTAGACAGTTAAACCCGACTGCAATATAAGTTTTGTAGTCTCAGCGCGGCTTTCAGTTAGGAATTGAATGGTAACTTCAAATGACCGGATTAATTGATGGATAGGCGCTTGGGAGCAAAGCAACCCGGCCTCCCTTGATTGAAGGATCCAAATAAGCCTTTCTCTCTTACAGCGAAACTTCGGATCTGGGAACCACGCAGGCGGTTGCAAAGGAACCAGCAATAAGCAATTGATAATATCTAAACAGCGTCCTCTCGGGTCACTAGAAAACACTCTCTTGAGTTCAGGGCAGTGCTGGTTGACGTATCCCCTCTAACTAAGAGCGCCATGGGCTCCCAGTTGAGAGCCAGTTGGTCATTAACGCAAACTCACCCCCGCTAGTCATCTCCCCGTCGATAGGCTCAGTGGTTTCACGCAGTTGTCCGATGCCGCCAGCACCAGCGCTATCATTTGGCTGCCCCAACTGCAAATGCGTCTGCGGATGCCAGCATTACCGCCGCGACGCGCCAATAGAGTCGCGGGGATAAATAGCGCGTCCTGTGACTGCAGTCCCGCAACATCTAAGTAGCACTGTAGCCTGTTTTGCACAGCAAGACAGAAAGAACGGTAAAGAGTGTGCGCGTAACCGTGCACACAGGAAGAGAACGAGTGGAAAGACGGGCCACCTTTCGAAAACGCACCAACACATTCAGAACCACTCTCGCCGCAACAAACAATCTTCTCCTTCCTTTGCGTACGCACGCACCATTCTGATCTCGGGAACATAACGGTGGTGGTCGTGCCGCCCATTACTTCAAGTGTTTATACAGACATCCAGCAAGGAACAAAATATTCCCAGTCTGACACCCAATTTTATTCCACCAGCCTCACGCACTTCTCTTCTACGCTGGATCATTTATTAAGGCAGCCCGGGGGCGCCTAGCGAATGCCGTATAGTTGATAGGCTACTGCTGCGCCACCCGAATGAGAGTACCTTAACCGCTAGTGTTACAACCGCCACCGCAGACTCAGTCAAAAGTAGGAAGTAGCGGAAATAGTGAGCATGGGCCACAGTAGAATTTTCAATCTGTCTTGTCTTCTGATCACAATTAGTGGATTTCTGGCCCGCGGTGATGATAACAGAACTGTCTCCAAACGTGCTGTCGTTCCCCCCTTGAATCACCAGGCAATTGGCTCCGGTGTGTGGTTCAATAAAGAACGCACATACCCCCAGTGTTCTGCTCTGACGTACCAGGAAATGGACTGCGCCAATTTTAGCCTCTCCCAACCCCCAGTGGACAAGTCACACTTCTGGCGCCCAGACTGTGGCCTTCTCATGCAGCGGCTCATGTGCGCTCTGTACAAAATTAACTGTCCCACAATAGGCCAAAGATCTTTTCAGGTAAGAACATTTTCTATATCTCATCGGTACGCCTGATAACAGGCTACTTTTGTGCCTGAATTTTGTGCGGGAGAATTGGCTGTAAAGTAAAGGAAGCAGGAATTGTGCGCCCAACCTTCAGTCCCATGTTACCAGGTACTTTAATGACATCTACGCCATTTCGCTCCCCAGAGCTAGGCATTTCAGACCGTCTTCTGAGTTACAAGAAGCTATTATTCAGGGGAAATGAGAATATCTTGAAAAAGTTATAATCCAAGAAAGAGCAGATACTTATTATAACTAGACATTAATGTGACGTAAGACCCAGACGAACGCCAGACTGCCCGATGGCGCCGATATTTAAGGTCGTCAAACAAATTTTGGAACCTGCTATTCAATGACTAGCTAAGATTCCCCAAGGACGTATCCTTCTGCAGTATCTATCCAAAGATCTGTGGAAAATAAATTATATACAGATTTTTATGGTAGCACTTTCAGACTCACAGCCTTATTTGTCTTTTGCTAAATATAAATACATAGGAGGTCACGTTTTTTGGAGTAAAACGTGCTTTAAAATCATATTTTGGGCCTTCATAGTCGGAAAAATTCCTTTTCTATGTGCAGACCAAAGCGAGCCTACTATTGTATGTGCACCACAGACAAGTGGGATAGACAGGACCCTGAAGCCCTGCAAACTACTGACCCAATAGTGAATTTTTGCATTAGGGCGTTTACATTTAGTTCGCCACTGGCCAAAGTATTACTGCCCAAGCAGTTTCGAGATCTCTAAACAGCCTACTCAACGGAATCCTCGTTATGCTGGAGACCATGAAATAGTTGAGGGAAATCCAATAATAGAAGCAACAGTTCTAGAACATCATCTATAAGAACTCCTCCCTAGTTCTCGGGAAAGTGGGAGAAAAAAGCCCGCCTCGGATTCACGATTACGATTACTATAAACCTAAAGTTAGGTATTTAGTGAAACTGATTACTTAGTCTGGTTTTCGCTGTTCACAACCGTCTATCTTCTCCGATAAAAGAACTCGGGAAAGCTATGAGAGAAGAGGGTGCTGATATGTCAGGAATAGATAGGATCAGAGAGGTTTTTAAGGAAGCCTTCACACACGTAATCAAGTTGGTGCTGAGAATGCTAGTGCTCATTCATTTCGCAGCATTATTAGAAGATTCTATGAATGCGTACGCTAAGGAAAAAAGATATTCGGGAACGGGTTGGATGGTATCCAATCTCTAGAACGAATGCCAGCTGCTTTTGCTGTTCCTGGCGTCGCTGAAGACCAGCTATTTGTTCACTCGAGCAAAGTCCCCATCATCCCTCTAAGAAGGACTGTAGCTCGCCGTCAAAGCTGTCATTCGACATGACAGCGCTGTTTCACCAAACTTCTCGAATTATGAACCAGACGTCTTTCTGTCCAGACCAATCCATAAATAAGAGGTTCTAGGTGGGAAAAGGCTATTATTTTGTGATCTAACTTATCGTATGTACACTGTCCTTCTTACAGACCATTCTAGCAAACGCGATCTCCCAAGATCAGACATTATAGCTTACCATTAAAGACTGCAGTAGCAAGAGTACCCATCACTGGCTGCAAGCGGATAGATGGAAAGCAATCCAAAGCCGACCGACTGTTCCATTGGGATGAGGCTCTGTATTCAGTCGACTAGCCAGCGGTTGTAGAAAATGAAATATCTCCCACAACTCACATGCAGTGACCTGTGTCTTCTGCATAAGTGCCTCCAAACGACGCAACATAGCACTGACATTCGCTTCTATTAGACTACAGTAGAGGACATTATACAAGAAATCTGCGAATCCTGCTTCCTTTACGTCGCTGACTGAGAAACCCTCATACAGTTTGACCATGGATACTTTCAGAATATGTAGCGGCTTCAGTTAGCAGTCAAGACCCTGAAGTTGGAAATTCAGGATCCGTGATTCTGTTCAAACTCACGATGTTAGAGGCATCTGTATATGTGTACAGTTGGATCTGTCGGGGCGATTGGTTCCGGAAGTACATGTTATACATAAATGAAATGACAACTAGGCGTCGCCTTGAAGTAGTCGGCGCCTCAATTTGACCTGGGATCTTCAAGACTGCCCTCCTGAAGATCGGTTTGGAGACGGCATGGGAATTGGCAGAAGCATTCCACTGGCAATGGGTAGGGTGAGAACGATTGCGCACACGGCAGTAGTTTGGACTAGTGAACAAATGTCAGAAACGGTATATCCGACAATGTTCGAAATCACCCACGAGTAAAACGTAAACCCATATCAAGTCCTTACCTTGCTTTGGTTTTTGACACGCTAGTGAAAACGCGATTTTCGGTAAGAGAAGGATGGGTTTGTCTGGTCGGACTGGGTTCGAAGCTGCCATCACATTAACGTAGGCTGGCAAACCTGGCACATGAGCTCGTGCTAAGGTGAGGGAGGAGTGTAATATGATTAGTGGGTTATTTTCCCCTTATCTTTGCCAGGCACATTTGCATGACGCCATGTCCTGGGTAGCATTACAGCCACATTTTGGCACTGAAATGGAATTTAACGCAAAAATACTCCTGCCTAAACATTTGGTCGAAAATTATGAGAGATCGACGATCCCTTTTAGAAGCGTTCCCAAGGGAGAAATAGTATGGTAGTGAGGTGTGAAAGCTGACTGACAAGCAACACAATTTCAAATCAGTTTATGAATGATAACATGCTGACTCCTGGTTGGCCTCCTTTCCGTTTGAATGTGCATGCGAGACAGAAAAATTGCCATATAATAGCTACATATTTGTGTCAATTGATTTTGAACATCTTTGTAGGGCCAGTCATATTTCTACTAGAAAAGATGTATAGAAAGCTAATTTCTTTTACTCGGTTTTTGGCTGCCTCTTCACAAAAGCTGGCAATCGAAAGGAAACTCCACTTTGGTCCGCCAACGTTTAGTAATTTATTTATATTTCGAAGCACTACCAGAATTTATGCGCACTTTTAAGTTTTCTAAATGAAATGCCACGTGTTCTTCTTGGGACAAATTAAAGCATCTTTGATATTAAAGTTAAGTGACTTGGCTGTGATCCTAACATGCGATCGTGGTTTGGATCGCGATGCGCATTTTGTGAGTACCATACGTAAATCCAAGAACAATAGGCTGCATGAGATATCGTGCGAGCGTTCCAAAATTGATCAGAAGCGCGCGATTTTTTATCAGTAAGAATGCCCTCTTTTCGCACATGAAATGTAAAGAAGGCATGTATACTCCGAAAAATATGTAAGAAAAGGATTTCTTGTACGTCATTTCTAATAAAGGAGGTCGAATACGTTGAAAAATTACACATCATATTTCTAGCTGCCTTGGTCTGGTTGAAAAGAGATTCAATAGAAGCCCAACATACTCTTGCCTATGAATGGATCTGACATAGTGCCCCAGTACATCGGTTTTTCTAAGCAAGAAAAGGAATTATTTTTCATTTAAAAGCCTAAAAAAGTCTGCCAGAGACTCATGAATTCGAGCATGTACCTTGGTCTACTGAAATTTCAAACCAACGCCTGGTGGCTAGTGTGGTACATGTCTTTTTAAAATTTATATCGTTTTCTTAACGAAGAATAGTTGAAGCACGACCGGTTGTGGTGAGAGGAATGACACCTGGCTAAGTGATTCAAGCAATGTGTCAATGATTTGAACGAAACATAAACACGAAACCGTATTTCGTGCCATTTGAGTGCTGTTTAGGATGGATTCTGAAATTTTTTTGAAAAGACCAGATCCAATTTCTAATTGTCGTTCACGTGGAGTAGTACCTGCTAGATGACGCTCTTTTGTAGGGTAACTTCACCGCACTTCCTTTTCATTTCCGTTCACCCTTATCTGACAATAGCTTTTGTTAGGTTTGAAGACGTCCGGTGACATTTAGAACTTAAACGTTGAATAATAAATCCGTTTGCATACATCCTTTACTATTTAATATTTGTTGAACACCAGTCTCCGTCATGCAATAGAAAAGGTAGCTATGCAATTAGTAACTGCTTCGACTGTTCAGATGAATAATCACCCAGAAATTTCGGCCAATAGTTTTACATCTAAGGGGAAATGTTCAGTTTAACTTTCGAAGTGAGGGGTCTAAACCGTTAAATGACCCGCTAAGCGCTGTAAACACTTCAACCGACGGGATTATTTGACTGACCCTAACATACTAGCAGGACCTAGTCACCTGGCAACCATTATAGATGGTGTGCCAGGTGCCCTGTTTTATTTCTCACCCTAAACATAGTGGCATGAACAGTCGACATATGTTAAGACTGAGATGAGCACTGACACGCATGGGCCCAAATAAAACCTTTCGGGTTGTTGCGTCCCCCAGGAACAAAAGACTCAGAGAAGCTGCTTGAACACCGATAGCTTTGGGTGGAATTATGTTGTTTACTTATTAGCAGCGTCCTGGTAGAACTAGCGAGCACAAGGTACCATTAATCCATAATAGATTTGCTGTAAAGGATGCTATTTCGGACCTCTCTGATGAGACATAAACTCCGACGAAAGTCTGCCGTTATTTAGGCTGAAAAAAGGCAAAAGCGGTGAGCCACGAAGCCTAAGAAACATCTACGTGATATCAAAGATGGGGGCTGCACACCCCGTTGGCGTTCACCGCCCACGATACGCCGCGCTCCATTTCTGAAGACGTTTAGCTCTTGTTCGTCGGGACCATGGGCTGTACGCTGGCAGTCTCAGGGGTAATTAGACGAGAGTCCGCAGCTAATGCGAGTACAAGTGTGATAATTTGTCAAAGCGAGCCCCACTTCCCCCGTGGCAAAATAAGTCCTTCTACGATTGGTTCAGCGACACCTATGGGCGTGGGCGTGGTAACGTTTTGCTGGGGCCCGGCACCACGATGTCAGACACCACGCTGCTTTCGGGATATTGCGCATCTCGCATAATTAATTGTCCAATTCTAACCTATGCTCGCTCCTGAGCAGCAGCAGCAGCAGCAGCGGTGGTGGTGGCGCTAGCAACGACTGCGACAGCATCCAAGCTGGATTTTCTCCTGCCCTCCGCTAATGTTCTTGACGTCCTTGGTGTGAGTGAAGCAAGGCAGAGATAAAGGTACGTAGTGGTCAGACAAAGCCAGTGCTGACGGGGCCTCTGCCTCAGAGAGTGGTAGTTGGAGACCGACGGTGAGGAACCAACAAAGCCCAAAACTGTGAGAACACAAGGCTCCGGTGAAGTGAATCAACATCCAACTTACAGTGCATTGAATATCGTTGAGAAGATTGGTCTAACTAATAAAGGATTAGGAAGTTACCGAATACCCTTACTTTGTTTGTTAAGTTAAATGTGAAAGCATTCCTGTAGAAAGTTCTAGGAGGATATTCTCCGGGCAAGCATCAATCATTCTCTAATAATGTGAGGTTGTTTGGTACCACAATTAACATCTATTCTCTTCTAAACAGAAGATGGAATAGGAAGTGTCTTGACTCAAGTTGGGAGAGGGCGAGGAAGCCAACAGGCTTAACTGACTTCTTCATCAGTCTCACATGATTTCAGCAGAAGGGTCTTCTATTAAAACACTATATACAGATATTAGACTTCAATTTATTAATAGACTTTTTGTGATGACATCAATGCTCACGAAGCGTCAGCAAACTACCTGCATTGGTTGTCAACTTGCTAACTTACAGCGAATCCCCTCCTGCAAGTAGGGGCTTTTTTTACGACGCCGTGGACAAGTTTCTCTGTCTACCGTCCCGGCATCCCAGTGGAAATCAGATGCGTCAGACGGCTAGTTGCGGCAACAGATTGTGCCAGGTCAGACAAACAACTTCCGCAGCTTTGACACGAAAGCGATTAGGATATTACCTCATGGCAAAGAGTTGCAAAAAAGCATTTTTGCCCAAGGTGGTGAAGCTCAGTGGGATAAGAAAAAGTAGTCTCTCCCCCGTTCTTCTGCTTGAGGGCGGTAGAAGCAAATAAAGCCTATTATTTTCACTGCGGTCGGAAGCCTCAGTTTCTCTACACGCATCCTTCGCACGGAGTTTTTCTCCATGAGACGGTGTCTTTTAAGCTGCCAGCTGCTTGAAGGTGTTGGAAATCTACATTTAGAGCTATTACGAACTGCTTACAATTCAGGTTATTTGGTAAGCAATATGGTCACATTACTGCCAGCATCACGGAGGAGGACGTACACCAGTTACGAACGAGCTCATTGAAGGCGCATCTAGGCTATCCGTAATATTGACCAAAAGTCTAAAGAATTTGTCTGTAGTTCAGATAGAATACAGAAATTTCGTACTCTGACCACTTGTTCTGAAACAGACATATAATTCGCAGAATACTGTGCAAAGTAAAATGTTAACGGTTTCACGCTACAAACCTCACTTGCAGGACAGACAGTTAAAATACACAGGTTTTGCGTTTTTCCCTTGCCCGGTAATGAGTCTTGCTGACTATTATGCTAAAATTGCAAACCAACTGAATCTTATTGTGAATACCTTAAACCCTCCTTCTAGGTCAGGAAAGGAAAACCTTGAGAGCATTGTTCTATTTCTTGACAAACTTTTAAAGTTTCATAATTTCTTGCATTCAATAAGACAGTGAGCATATGATGACATGTTAAGTCCAACCATTACAGACTGGGAATATGAAAATCACTCTTAGGAGCACATATTTTCTAGTGAGATGTGCTGCGTATTTCTCAGGTCGTTGCGGTAAATGGCATTTTTGGCAGCAAGAGACATACACTACTTTAAAGATCTAAAAAATACCGAATACGAGGGTCGAGTCACTGCGCATTAGACATTTTCGATTACAATTACAGCAGAAGAGATATCACACCGGTAACTAAGCTAGTCTCGAGAATTGTAAAAGGCAGCATCAGTTTTTTCATGGTCATCAGGCATGTCCATGTAATTCAATAGTCAGGAAACCTGAAGCGAGTTTTGGGGGCTGGCATTTCGTTGCTGCCACCGGACACCAATTTTTGGCAGGACTGTTTACATATTCCTATAATCTGTTTCAATATACAGTATCTGGCCTATCTCACGAAATTTTAACTGAAATTATGAAATGTGTTATCGATTAGAAAGAATAACTTAAGTGGGGCTGTTATATTGGTCACCAGATAACATAAGCCCTAGCTATTTCAGTTACTCCAGGATACCCGCCGTTACACGAACTTATTGTCGACCATTTGCAAAACCACAATCAGAAAAGTGCACACCCCACTGGTGTGATTTATTTTATTATTCTTCGATGCCCTTATGCATTTCACTGTGTTTTACAGTAGATATGCACGAAATATTCATGCTTGTAGTCATTTGGTAGCGAATTGCGTCTTCTTCTAACCTAATGCCTAAGACAGGGAATATTTCAACCATAAAAAAGCATTTTTTAAAATCCCGAAAAATTATGAATCCAACTTACAGTTGCACTCGCTTTAAGGGTTTCTGGACTACATGCTGTACACTTCCCGTTTAGGGTAAATCATATATTTCTGTATGTTGTTAGGTGAACGTAATATAGGTTTCAGAAGATTTCAAAATTATTGTGGACTTTGTTGTACACTCAATGAACAGCACGAATAAATAGGCAGCTACGACGCCGCATGAATGAATCTTTCAGACTTAAAATATCTCGCAATTACAAACTTTTTAGGCTGAGAAAAATATTTTTTCAAGTACGATAGTTATAGAATGCGTAATTTGCTATCGACTAAATACGCGAATGAATGCATGTTTCTAACAAATATATCTAAAATCATTAGGTTATCCCAAATAAGTGGAAAAACCATACTAAATAAGTAGTCATTTTATACTGGGCATAAACTTTCCAGGCTGCCGGAGATCATTTCATTCAAAAGCCGACATCCTGGCGAAAATAATGCCTTGGGACTACGCTACACGATAATCAATATCACGACCCCACCTTGTTATTCTTTTCAATCGAAAACATGTTGTATGTGGCGATCCAGCTGCCATATACATATGTATACATGATGAAGTTCTTACTTTTCCCAAAGAACCTATTACTTCAAAATATGCATATATATTGGCAAGGGGGCGCTCACCAATCGCGTAACGAGAATCACTTATTCCGTTGTGCCTTGGGGCTCTCTCGAGCCCAACCGGCAGCCGCAGAGCGGTGCGTAATATGGACAGAGTAACATTACTGAAAACGACAAGGGAGACTGGAATGGCCATTTCTGGCGTATTAGCTGGCGTCAGCCAGTCATACTCCAAAGGATGGAACACCCGGGGCTCGATCGTGCGACCTGCTGGTTAGAAGTTCAACATCCCTAACCGTCCTCGTACTGCCGACTGCGATTGGGAATATACTATATTACGCGCCAGTGTGTGGCTGCCGCCTAGGCTCGAGAGAGAACCCCAAGGCACGAAGGGACGAGTGAGTCCTGTACCACGATCGGCAAACACCCTCCTACTACTGTATATTCCCGATCGCGACCGAGTGGATAACAAACCCGTGGCTCGGTGTTTATAGGTGTGGACTTCTAACCAGTAGGTTGCAGGATCGAACCCCAGATGTCTTTGTCGGTAATGCCATTCTGCCTATATCATGCGCCGCTGTGCGGCTGCTGGTTGGGCTCAAGAGAAAGCCGTTAAGGCACAAGGAACGAGTGAGTTCCGTATGAACGATCGGTGGGCGCCCCTACCATTGTATATTTCCGATCGAAAACCGACAAGGCAACGGGCTCGTGGCCCAGTGTTTAGAGGCGTGACTTCTAAATAACAGGTCGCGAGTTCGAGCCTCGGGTGTTGCACACTTCGGTTTTGGGTATGAATGGCTGACGAGGGCTAATAAGTCGAAAGTGGACATTCTATTCTCCCTTGTCTTTGTCGGTAGTGTTGTTCCATATATATGTGTGTGAATTTAAAAACAGGCATCTCAAGATTCGTAATTTGGAAGAAAGGACTTATTTCTTATATTTTCCAAAATATATAAGTGTAAATATATACATATGTAGTAAAGGATGCTCATCGATCGCGTTACTTGACGTGCTGGTCCCATGGAGTCCTGGAGCCCGATCCGAAACTCCCCAGGCAGTGCCACGGCGACCGGTAATATATGCAGAAGAAGATAGCTGACAAAGACAAGAGAGACCGAAATGAGTTTTTCCGGATTATTGGACATCATCAGACAGCCACGCCAATCGCCGGACTCATGGTGCCCGAGGCTCCATCTTTCGCTCCTCAGTAACTATTAGTCGAGCGTTTTAACTATAGCGCCACGGACTTGTTGGCCCATAGGTTGCTGTCGAGGTAGAATCTGTGGCAGAGGGCGCTCACCGCGTGACATGAGCTGCTCATCCCGCTGTTCTTAGTTCATATACCTGGTCTTAACCGACAGTACAACGAGCCCGTAGTTCACTAATTAGGCCGCTGGACTAATAACCAAGAAATGGTAGGGGATCGAGCCTTAGGTGCTGCGCTTTTAGGGCGGAGTATGGCTGGCTGATGACGACTAAGAAGACAAAAATGGCCACTTCAGTCTCATTCGTCTTTGCCAGCAATTTTCTACTGCAAATATGTATATATAGTAAAAGATGGAATTCCTCCGGAAATGTATTGTTTTTATGGTTCATATATCCAATTATAATAATTTATCATGGGGCAGTCTGTCAGTTTCGTCAGTAGTTGAAATATGAACTAAAATACCTTGCCGATGGTCAGGTATTCATTGCATGCTTTCCAAAAAGGAGAATTAGGCAATTAAAAGTCTTATTTGCATGAAACCAATAAAAAACGATTAAGCTCAAACAGACAGAGATCGTCCGATATTGCATTTATTGATTTCCTTGTGTGGCAATGTGCAGGTGAAAACTGCCCGCTCCACCTGCAGATTATGCCAGGTCGTCTGGAGATTGAAGTCATTTTTCGCTTACTTACACTACTGGATGACTGCAGCGTTCTCCTTCTGTCCTTACCTCTCACTGTCTAGACATTTTAATAGCTCAATCGGTAGCCTGTTTTTGTTTATCAAGTGGTTTCTGCACATAGACAAATTGCTCACCGACAGAAAATGCCTTCGGAATGTGGAGCGTATAACAACTGCTGTTCGAAGCAACCGCGTGCCTGATATAATTAACCCAAGTTATGGCTAACTTCTGATGACTCCACCAAGCAGGTTGTAGTCAACAGTTGCCGCAAATCAAACCCTGCATAGTATTGTTCTGTAAATCAAAATTTAACTCTCCTCTCCTCCATCAAACTGAACAATTGAGGTGTTCTCTACCAAGCGGCGCGTATAATATAGCTTTTATCTTCACAGAGCCCATTCTTAAAAAAGGAGGACAAATTATTTAACATAAAAGGAAGTCTTGTGGTGAAACCAACTGAAAAATGGCACCTTTATAGCTGAAGAGGATAGGAACCGAAAATGCCGCTGCCGTGGGCCGTTGGCTGTTTAGTCGGGTATTTGGAGAGAGAGAGAGAGAGAGAGAGGAGTTCGTTCTATTTTGAAATCATAAATTCAAAAGTTTCAGCAAAAAATTGGCTATATTCACTATGGGCAGTAAATAAGTTAATAGATTATTCCCGAGTCAAAAAGTTTGACACAAAAGGCACGATTATTAGGAGGACAGTTAAAGTCTTAGCTTCTGTATTGCTGTCTTCTCACACGTAAGATAGCGCGCCAAGAATGGCAATACAGAAGCTGGAAAAGCTGATGTGCGACAAGACATAAGTCGGAAGCTGCGGCGCATCGGGCGGGAAGACTTCGCAGAAATAAGATCAGAATGCGAGGGATGGGCAACGTCATCTATAATCCGACCAGCAACTTGCTTGACCGTATAGAAATTCCGTTGTAGGATAGTGTCGACTAAAAAAGGATAAGAAACCCCAGCGACAGAAGAGAGCATTCGGAGGACTCGTTTTAAAACTAAAAGACCTTTTTGAGCAAAGCAGGGAAAATGACAGGAGAGCAGTATAGGACAAGAGGAAGAATGCAGGTATCGATGAATATCGAGACTAAGGGTCGAGGTGTGTGGTAGGAACGTACACAACGAATGGTATAAAGAAGTTTACGAACGTTAGTAAATAGGGACTCAATATGGTAGGGAAACGAAAAATGTGATGACAGTGTAGCGCCATGGTACCTGAAAGAGGATACCTCGTTAGAAAAGATGAAAAGGGACTCAGGACTAGAAGAGGGCCGCAGTCGGAAAATACACTGAACTGATTTTTGGTTGTTCAGTAGGAGACCATTTTCATTCGAGCATACTAGGAAAGGGTTAAGGCCATCCTTTAGAGACTGGAGGTGTGTCCGATTTTTGAGAGTGTGTCCAACAACCACATCATCAGCATACTTAACCAAAAGACATTGATTAACTGTACTGGAGGTAGAAACAGTTGCAGCCGGGTTCCGTCCGTTGACGAGGACCCAGGGACCAATAACGCTTTCCTCCAGGCTGTAGGCACGTCGCAGGAGAGCTTGACACAATGCGTTGATTCGGGTATTCTTGCGACTAGCCGAGTTGACAGTATACCATTGACACACGAGCCCTTCACGGGGAACTCTTTGCGCCTGCCATGAGATCTGCTACCTTCCGAAGTTTTAGCCGGTCAAAATATGGTTCAACCTATGACGATTAAATCGTTGCATACTGGACCTGGGCACAGGTTACTTAACTGTTTTACACCAGTTTACTGTCTCTAATCGTGTCAGAGTTAAGATTGCGGGTCATTTTCCACCCCAATAAATCAGCACGGTGAGAGGGGGAGGAGGACAAGCGACCCGCATATACCCCCAGATTATCCTAAGACGGTGAGACCTTTTGGCGTGTCCGGAAACTATTTTGACACCATTGCCTCCATATCAGTCTTAACCTGAAAACAATACTCGTCAAGATTGTCCAATTGTAGCAGACCAACTCCGTTTAGACAGCGACATAGACTTTTGCCGACCGACATCTACATGGAACTCACACTACTAAGCCTCTTTAATATTGTGCCCACAGGCTGCCATCTACTTGGGGACGAGGGAGAGGTCAGGGAAACGCACTGGCATGGATTGCCCAAGTACTTAATTAGAACATTACGGATTTACCGTGCTAGTCCCAATTGTCCTTTCGGATTGGTTGAGAGCAGAGTGCAATGCCCTTTAGGGCACTTTCGCTGTGAGGACGGATGGACCTCTCACAGATGAGCAGTTTCAGTTAGTGCGCTCGGACTGCGGTTGAGGGAAACTGAACATCCCCGAAAACCACCGGCTTCATATCATACGCTTCATCAACTTCCTCTGAAAACACCCCTGGGTGAACTGCAGCAGTCTGAACGGTGGAATGTAGGCGGGTTACCTCAACCACCTGGAACTGTTTTCATCCAGCCATAAACGCATATACGCAGTAAGAATCCTATCCGTCAGCCTGACTGTTTCGGGAGTCAGACGGACAGGTCGGTAACTAGCAAATATCGGAGCCTTTGTTGGATCTCTGTACTGAATAAATATCAATCATGGATTCTGACACAGTCCTACGATACCAGGGGACCTTCTCCACTATACACAGAAATGAAATGTTTGATCAAAAATCTACGTTTTTATGAAGTGTCACTTCTCAGTTCCTTACAACCCAGATTATTAAGGAGGCCAACCTTGAGTGACGTCGAGCGATAAGCATAATATCTGTACCCTAATATCCACAGGTCTCAACCTATGGTTCCATTTTTCCCCTGATGATAATGTTAGACAGAATTGATCTAAGTAGCTTCCGATTTATGTAACCGGCACCGCATGTTTGTCTCAGATGATGTAACATGCCCCATTTTTTTCATTGCGGCTTTTAAACTTACCCAGGCGAACTTAAAGCAACAAGGTGGTGTGGTCTTTCACTCATCTGTCATTTCAAGTACCGAAACAGTATGACTGAATTTTAACAGGACAGACGTTCTCCCTTGGATGTCCCCTGACTCCGCTTCTAAGAATTTGTCTACGTTATTCTGGTCAGTTTTTTGCGCACTTCAAGTGAAAAAGCGCTATTTTTGACAAAACTAAGATTTACCAATTTGGAAACTTAGACCGTATTGCTATCCCCAACCATTAGTCTGTCGGTGAGTTTCTATAGACCAAAGTTGACATTTATAAGGACGCACACAGACAGCAGACTACACCGATAGCCAATAACCAAAATAAAAACAGCAATAGATCTTTTAGACAGAATCGGTTAAATATAGTCCGTCACCAGTGCCGCCTACATGCAAAGTGCCAAAATAGCTGAAATATTTATATATTTGGAAGCATTTTAATGAGTGAAGTAAGAAGGTGTCTGTTCAAGGCGGAAGCCGAAGTCTCACAGTCTACATCTGTTTACCGAAGTGTACAGAGAGTGTTTTAAAACGGATCACCTTTACGTGCCTTACTATGTTGTTATGGATTAAAGACAATTAAAGAAGATGTACTTGTATATGAACGGCGTTGTTTTGCAGGCTTAACTGACAATGTAAGGGACCTGCAAAAACCTACTCTAAATTTATTGCGTAAAGTTCCCAGTTTCGGTCGAAGCGTGAGCATAATTCATGCGTTGAAAGTTGTTATAATTAAGCTTCCTTTCCAGTTGTTCAGAGGTCGTGCCCTTTTTAACTTTACGTACATTGTTGGCATAAGTTGAACCAAACAAGTATGTTGTCGATTAAGTTTCCACCACAGTTCGCATCGGAAATTACTGGATCCTCAGAGCGCGTGAAAAATGAGATGGAAAATCCCCATCCAAATTGCCTCGAGCTCCTTTCGGACCCGCCGACAATAAAACTGCCAGATATCGTTAACAAAGCTGTGGTAATGGGAGGGAGTAGTCATCGCATTTTCCCCACTCAAGACAGTAAAACAAACGGCAACTGACGGAGAGATCGAGGAAGGGGTACGGAGACGGTAGTATCAGCGGCTGGCCGTTGGTTCCCAGGAAGTTCATCATAAACTGCCGGTACTCGGGCTGAGCCTCAAAAATGAGATAAATTTGATTTATTTGTTTGGACACTCGTGTGCCTCCACAACTTGTAGGTAGCATGTGGACATTTGTGAGAGCACTGTTCGTGCAGTATATCGGGAATGGAAATAAAAGGATAGAACGTTTAACCGTCTGTGCGGCTGTTACAGAAGAGTTATAAAGTGGAAAACAAAAATTCTGTGATTTAACATAGTAAGACGTTCCAACACTAAAAATGCACCCCATCTATTCCGAGTGGGCGTGTGTCTTGTCGGCGACCGCAATGCCAGTAATCTGAATAGGAAAAGAAGTAATTCAGAGAGAGTTAACTCCTTTCAATTAACCAGAATACTAGGTGAAGCCAAAGACCTGACAGCCTTCTGAGTGCATCTGAAGCAAATTAACCAGCATAGCGATACGGCTGATAGTATAGGCTATGAGTCCTCGCTATAAGAACATAAACGTCCACAAGACACTTCACGCGTATTTGTAAACTTACTCGAGAGGCTTCATGACAATGAACGCTCACAACTGTTCATTCTGATGTATTCCATTCCGATGGGCTGAACTTGTAGCACATGCTTCCTTGCTTTACGGTATATCGCTACCTCATGAAATGTTAGCCGGAACATGGGAATGTGTTTTCGCCTCGAAAAGCTAACTTAAGTAGGGCTGTAATATTAATGATCGTGAAGCAGAACTCCAAACTATTTCAGTTACATAAGGATATCTATTGTTGAACGAGCTTACATCTGGTCTTCTGCAAAGGGGCTACTTAATAAGTTTGCACTTTTTCTATTGATTTCGATGCCCCTATGAATTCAAACATAATGCGCAAAATATTCGTTCAAACACTCATTTGGTAGCAAATCACGTCTTCTTTGAAGCTTACAATTTACGAAACGGTATCCCTCTGTTTAGAAATGTTTTCTTATTTTCCAGTAACTTTGAACTCGACCTGTCGTTACACTTTCAAATTACAAACTAATTATTTTCCGTGTAAGGAAAATCAAACATTTCTATACACTTCTAAGAAGGTATCACATGGAGTTCAAAAAATTTTGCAGTGAATTTGAACCATGCTGTATACCTAACAAGCGAAATTAATTAATGTAAAAATACGATGTTATACGAATGGGCATTTCATGGAATTGAAAATATCATAACAAGCGGCTTTTTCAAAACCGGAGGATGTCTTTTCTTCAAGCATAAACTTCAAAGAAGATGTAATTTCCTACCAAACGAGCAACAGTACGAATATTTTGCGCATTTCTTCTACAAAACATTTTTGGATTAACGAGGGCATCGAGGAGCGACGGCGATGATATTCGGCTGGCTAAATTCAATGCGTCAAAAATTATCGCAATGACAAATGTTTGTCACTATTCCTTCCCGTTATGAACTGATCTCTACTGAGTGGCTTCTTATGAGATGTAAAGGAATACCTCTACTGGGTTTTCACTAAGGTGTTCCTGTTGTGGTTAGACTATACAGGCAAGCCAGCAAGCACAAATAAGAAGCAATCTGCATGCAAATGCGTGTATGGTGTGTTTCTCAACAGAAAACTCCGCCTCTACTTATTGCTTCACTGGTTATTAGCAATGAGAAGTTAAGCACCATTTTTTCGGGAAAAGTAACGAACCTGATAATAACGGACACCACCCTTTGATGGAACATATAATGTGACAAATAGATAATAGCGATGGTGTCATTGCGGTTTTCAAGCCTTAGCTTTCCGCAGTTGCAGTTACATTTGGCCTGCAGTTTAAAAATACTTTTAAAACTCCCAAATCATCTGTTTCGGTTGGACACGCAAATGGAAATCCCCCCCATAATTTCGATAGTCTTATGCTAACTTCCAGGAAGATAAATGCTGGAATTTTAGTTGGGGTTGAGGTTAGAGTTAATGTTTGGGTTAGGGTTGAGGCCAAGGTTTGGGTTAAGGTCGGAGTTAGGGTAATATTTAGACCTAGGGTTAGGATTTGGGTTAGGGTTACCGTTGGGGCTAGAACATGGGAATAACCATCTTCTCCGGAATCTGACGTAAGACTCCGTATTTCGAGGATTTCTTGCTTTAGTGTTTTACCACTCTTTTTCCCCTTGGTTATTTTAATTTTGTACTCACGTCAAATTCTCTGTTGGTCAATAAGTCTTTCAATGAGCGCCGTAATAACTGCGACAAAGTGGGCTACAGAAGATAACCAGAACATTATCATTTATTTTCCAATATTGTTTTCTGATGCCTAGACCTCTTATGTCCGGTGGCTGTATCCGTTACGGACAACGTGATTGACGTTATATAAACATGCATGACAGTCGAGATTGTGTATCATCTGAATGCTGACTCGTCTGTTTATGTGACTTAGGTAGGCGGGACGAAAAATTTCAGTAAAAAGTCAACGGGACATAACTTTGACTAAGAACTTGAGGTGGCTTACCCTATTTATCTGTGACTCTAGACTTGAGGAATGCAGGCAATGTTTCGGAACTTACTTCGGAAACTCCCCTCTCGTCTTTCTCTCTAGCCTTTTTCTAAGAAATTACAGCTGACGAAACTGGTGTAAAAAGCCACACTTTGAGTATATAAAACTTATTTTCCCTTTCTGCTGGCCCCCTAAACTTTCCAGTGATGGCATTTCACCGCCCACTGTATTTTTCTCTGTAGCATAGTGGGCCTGCTCCCACTAGATCACAAACTCGTTTCGAGTCACCTCTGAGTTTATTCCTCTCACATAGACCCTGCTCCCAACGATCATCTGTCAGGTAGGCCGGCAGTCTCCATATAGCATGTTCCAGAGCCACCATCCGGCTTATGCAGAGGGTAAGAACTTTTGTCGTGTGGATTGCAGCACCCTCTGTTCTCTCGAATGCTGTGGTTTGGTCGCAGGTATCTAACATGCGATAAATGGTGGCAGCCGGGCCGAGATTCCGGGGGCATATGAGAGCGCGCGCGCGTTCTCTCAAACACCGGAGCGCGCGATTCACCCTGAGAGGGGCGACTATCTCACACGGCGTGACGTATCAAATATCGAAATATCCGTCATCTGGGACCTCGCGGTCATGAGTTTGACGGCGACCCCGATGCAGATGCCCGTTTAGAGGACAAGAAAACAATTATCACAGTGCTCTAGGGGGAGTGGAGAGAAAGAAAACAAGAAAGCATCCGCCTCCCGTTCGGAGTTGTTCGTGGAAAATACATGAACCACAACAGGCCTATAAAAACGGGCATAAGCATTATCTGCAACTAAGTCGTCTGCTCCAAAATGACAACAGTCATTGTTCCTGCGTCCACAAAACTGTCTGCGTACCAATGCTTACAGGGAAGGGGTATAGGTCAGAGGAAAGATTTACATACAAGACAAACCCTCCTGGACAAACGGAGAAGCAAGGAGAGGCTCCCTTTTCTCCTTGACCGTGAAACTTTTTTGAATCAGCGAATGACCACCTTTTTTAACCGACTTTACTATGACGTTGATAAAATATATTAGGTTATCTTCCAAATTAAAGATTTATCCAATCCATCTGACCAAGTAGGGCGAAGCAATGCGACGTCAAATATGCACTTTCAACGAGGATAATTATTTTAGCTTTATTTTCGAGACTTTGGAGATTTCATGTCCTGCTTTGGAGATCACGTGTCTATTAGTTCGATGCACTGGTTTTGGGGACCAAAACAACAATGGCTGCATCCTGACCCCAAATATAATTCTAAGCCTAACTCGAAAAACAAGATGTAATCGCTGTAGCAAGAGGTTTGTTGGCCCGATGTTTCGAATTCCCACTTGAGCCCATCATCAGAGACAGTGGCAGATAAGAGTAACTGAGGCACAAAGAATGCTTCTATTGGCAATGCAGCATGTATAGGCAGCAGTTGCCACGCGACCACCCGTCTAATCTAATTGGCAGTTACCGCATTCATTGCCGATGTTCGTAATTGATGCACTGATGGATTGTTAATTCACACCCAAGTGGTTAATTGCCGAAATGTGATCACCGTTGCGGATTCTTGGCGTGATAATGACTCAGGTATTTGACTCGCTGTCACATTAAATTGTCGGTACTCCCTACCCACCCCGCATGACCAATTACTCTGCCCAGGCAAAGTCTGAGCACAGAATATGGGGCCGGGAGGTCATTGTGCTTGATTGACTGGGGGCTGGTGAAGCATGACTTAAGCAACTCGTGGCTCACGCGGTTGTTTCTTCTTGCGAGCATTTCGACCTCGTAAATGCTGAAGGTATGATCGGGAGCCCTAGGGTGAGCCAAATTGCCGAGTAACCACCACGCCAAGAGCCCACAGCAGTGACTGCCTCTCGGCCGTTGACGACTCGGATGCGGGCTAACAAGCAATCATTGCACCCGTTGCGATCCACAGCGCCGAATGTTGGAGCTGCTAGTCATACTCGATATGTGGTCGCGTGGCGACTGCGACCTATAAATACTGCACTGCTTGTGCCTCAGTCACTCTTATCTGCGGCTGTCTCAGATGATGGGTTCGAGTGGAGACCCGAGACGTCGGGCCAACAAACGTCTTGTTCTAGCGATAACATCTTTTTCTGGAATACCTCATGGAACTCGCCCCTTCGCTTCCATCGGCTAAACCTAAACATAACGTTAATCTTCACCATGACCGTACGTCTGACCTTATCTCTAGCCCTAAACTTAACCGTAATCCTTAACTCAACCCTAACCTGATTGTAAGGGAGTGGGTGTGGTATAACCAGCTCATACTATTACGGCGTCTGCGCAATTTGCGCGCGTAAAGTCACGAAACTCCACCATTAACGAAAGCTTTTACACCTGGAGTTTAACTGCGGATTCTACTTGATACTTAGAGAAAAAGAGACCATCGAATGGTGGCCGGATCGATTTAACCTTTTGTGAACTATATGAACGTGTTAATTTTGTGTTCCGAAGTACGCCGTTTGTGCAAGCAGAGGCCATCAACTTATCCCCACAGGCTTCCATGCCAAAGGTGGTCTGTTTGTTTGGCTATCGTGTGTTGCTCCTGGCGCTCATTCTCTTCTAGATGTATGACATTCCATGTCAGTCCTCTTGCTACGCCACGGTAGCTATCTGCGGGCGTAAGGCCTCTTCTCTCGGTTACGGCAGAGGCCCCAGGGAAGGCGCCTTGAACTCCGGCGACTACGGCCTCTGGCACAACCCTCCCACTGGCAGTGGTCAGAGTGTCTGGCCCTGGCGACCTCTAACCTCGTCCGGCACTGTGTTGGCGGGCGCGCGGACGGCAGAGAGAAGCCCCGGGCGCCATGACCTTGAAAGTTCTCGCATCCACCGCATCGTGAGGGGGACTGGTAATGAGGACAAGATCAACTCCGCTGACGATGGGGAGGAGGACGAGGAGGAGGAAGACAAGGACGATCAGCTCACCGGAACGGTCGCCTGGCCTGAAGCGGTAGGCGGGTCAGCCACCCGCACCTCTCGCGGCCTGCCCTGGATGCAGGCCGATTCGACTGACTGCGCATTTCTTCCGGCTGGCGGTTGCGACAACTGGGCCAATGGCCTGTCCGCTGCACACAATCTCTTCAGCGGAGATTTTGAAGCCATGTCCAGACGTACGTAGGGAGATCTAAGCCATTCTTTTTTTATTTCTTCCTCCCCTTCATCGAGGACGAGATACTAGTCTGTTTTATCCCGAGCACTCTAACGCACGGAATGTGATAACACTGTTTCTGAATCCGTAGGCATTTTGGTTCACTGGTGGGAAAACTACATGATTAAAACCTTCGGAAGTTATTCAGTCGCGGTGTAGCATCGCAGTTGGACAGAGTGTAAAATGTTGTTGTTCGATAGATGTTGGTTACAGTTTACTGAAGTGTACTTTGGTCGAATATGCTATTCACTTATTCGACCAAAACTCCACAAAGGCAAAAGTAGCCGCTTTAAATCGTCAAAAAGCCTAGTTCTTTATTGGGTCCGGCAGGTGACCGATGGCAATACCCTGGCGGTGTTTCTTTACTACCTATTGTTCATCAACAAGGTGACTGCCTTCGGGCACCGTGGGCTACGGTCCAGATCAAAACACTAGATAATATCCCGCCCTATCACCATGCAAGCTCGGCGCACGTAAATCGCAAGTGGATAATCCGCATGTCATGCTCTTAATTTCAGAAAATCCTGGCTGTTCCTCTAAAAACACCGAGGTTTGCAAAAATATGTTTCCTGAGAATTTCGACAAGAAGAGCTGGATCAGTGGAAACTTCACCGCTGGTAAGCCAGCTTGTTGCTCCAATTTTCAGTTCTCCCATTTTGCCTGTGTTGCATCTGCTCCTTCTAACCTATCTAGTCCGATTACTATGCACTGTATTATAGTACTGCAAGTCTCTTCCAATCTAGCTACCCTTATGCGCCGTCATTTTCACCCTTTTAGCCGTTGTGATCAGGGTAACGCAGACGTTTTGGTGGTTCGGAGTCAACAATAACTTCCAGCCTTTCATTCGTTTCCAAGTAAAAAGGACTCTCAAAACAGACATTCAGCCCTACGACGAAAAGGTAATACTCACCTATGCCTGGCCAACCGACTGTGTGTGCCCCAATGAGCTCACTGTGGGCAAACGTTACCTCCTGCTGACCCATTCGAAGATCTCACGTCAAAGTCTTACAATAAGCACGAAGTCCGTGTTCCTTAACCGCGTCAAACGGTATACAAAACGCCTACTAGTAAGTGCGCCCATAGAACTGTTCGCATCACTTCTCTAAAGCCGTGTTTTAGTGCCGTATAGAGGCTTATGCGCGGTGGTATCTTACACTTTTCTTGTAACTAGCTTTGCCTTCTAGTGGTTTGGTTTGCAAAAAACAATTTTCCATGGCCAGGCAGATGTGAATTAGGTTCTTTAAACAAGACGTTCCATATTAATGATTTGTTATACTTATTTATTCCGCACTACTCCAAACCTACAATAATAGTCGAAAACAGAGAAAGAACGCGTACTCCATCTTTAAAAAGAGAAATTTATTGACCCGAAGTTTCGGAATCTCAGCTGAATGAAGTTGAGAGGCAAAATGAGTACAGTTTCTGTAGGATATGGTAAAAAGCGTGGCCACTGGCAGACCATGAACGAGTCACTGACTCCTACGTTTTTCTCGTGGATGGTTGCAAGCAGAGGAACAACAGCTTGACTTATCAATTCCGAACCCTTAGTCGCCGCGCCATCATCGACGCGGACGGTAATTTGTTAATAATGACCTGACAATGGGCTTCTAGGTACTATTCCACTGAGTAGTATTCGCCCGCGCGGCTCCCATATACGTGATTCCTCTGCCTAGGAGGATTCTAAGCGTTTCATAGGTTGGGGAAGACATTATGTTTAACGGTCAATTCCAAACGGAAGAATTCTGACCCAAATAGCCTGGAACACGAGTAGTTGTTATCTTGTGGGAGGAGGTTGGCCTCATTGAATTTGACAACGTTGCCAATAGCGTCCAGTGAGCCAGATCTTGCGAGCTTGTATCGTTTCTCCGCCCAGTTGATGCCTGTTCGCTCATTCTCGTCCGTAGTAAGCCTCTTGTTTCTCTGATAAAGTTCGCCTGTACGCATCTGTCCGAAAACGACCGTAGGCGTTTGTTTCGGTGTCAACATGTTTCTCCTATTTGTCGGCAGTCGGATTGGTGCTTCCAGTCAATCGGTATGCGGCGGCGGCGGCTGACAGTTCATGAGAGGTTCTTAGCGTACGGTAGGAGTCGGAATAATCAGGGTCTTTTGTGGTTTACCACCCCAGTACTATTTTGCACGCACAGCGTGCCCGAGTCGTGCGGGTCGACATTCGCTATGTATACTCATCCAATGTGTCGGAGGTCGGCAACCTTGTCTTCCGTCCAATTTCACTGTGCCCCTGAACGCCAATGTACCGTTGCCACGCAAATGCATGTGCGGTTGAATGGGTGATAGCTGCTGAAGTTCAGTACCGCGTAGTGTTTGTCGTTTTCCGGAGTACTTTGACCTGTAAACCAACATAATGGCCATATACAGGGGTATCAGGGAGAACAATCTGACTGTTTACTTCATCCATCGTGAACTGCAGACCTTGCCCGATGACTTTTAAAAGTTCTTCAAATATCAGCATCCCACTCCGTTCGATGACAAAGCTGTCGTCTACATACCAAGTCCAGTAATCAGTCTGTATTGGAAGACCAGTGACCCTGAGCATTGTAGGGCAACCTTAACTTAAAGTGCCAAATGTCGACAAGTTTATGCGAGTGAGAACTGAGGAGGCAGCTTCAAGGCAACAAAGTGTATTCTCGCAGTTCATGTCTACCATACACAGCTACGCCATAAAGATTCAAGACCGACTAAGGTCCTCTAAGCATTCTGGCTTGGCGTGATTTTCCTAACTTCAGGCCACTGGAAGAAGCAACGGAGATAAGGCACTTTTGTTGAATATATCATGGCGTGACGTCTGCCTTTATGGAGTAGATGACATCGAAATAAAGGTTATGACGCATGCCTTCTTCACATCCTGGCAAGAGCAGCACACAACATTAATCTATTGACACTGGCATGTTGGTTAACGCACACTCAACTATGGCGCATCCTGTTTAGGCCTTATGTGATTTTATTATTCTGGTGTTGATGTGCTGTAAAACTATGGTGACGAACCAGACTTCCCTTACGCATAAGAGGTCGTTTAGAGAGTTAAAGGCCAATGGCGGCTTGTGACAGACTACTTGCTCGTGTCTTCTATCTGCATGCTTCCGCTCAGCTTCCAAGCATCCCTGCTCTGCCACTCCCCATTTTTCATGTTGCCACTTGCTTATGTTTCAAATTTCAGCCAATCATTGTGGCACACCAGTGAGCCCAGTTACGGTAAGCTTTCAGCCCGTCGCCTCAGCAGAAAACACTTAATGTTGCCTGTCGAATTATGTTTCAGTGTTTGCTTGCTCAGCTAAAGATGGTAGGAGAATAATGCCCGTTTCAGAAGACTGAAGAACAAGACGCATGCATTCATTCTTGTGCTGTTACCAATTATCTCGATACAAAAAATGTCAGTAATATAAAGTTCAGCCTAAGTGCCCCGACCTCCTTTACATAAAATGTATTTTGTCGGAGAAGCTGTAAACCGATGAAGCTGTACATGGCGAGAGGCTTCTGCTAAACGCTCTTCGGCGATCACACATGAAAGATGGGGGCATGTTAAACCCCAAGGTAGTTTCTGTCGTCTGACTTAAATACCGTTCAATAGTTCGTAGAGAACTTTAAGTAGCAGCCAGTTCCCCAACGGATAGAGTTGTCGCTGTTCCTTTCATGAAGTATGAAGACAACAAGTCTTTTTTTTTAAAACGTTTCCACGTGACTTACGGCACGTGTCACTAGAAGGCTGGCGAAATCCGGCTTAGCTGCTTTATGGTAACTCAACAGGCCAGCGTGAACGAAAAGACACTTGTCTTGAAGGTGGGGAAGAACGGCGAAGCAAGAAGCATGTAGACAAAATAGAACAGTTGATAGTTCTTAAAAGTCCGTAGGGAGCCTTATGAGTGTTTTTGAGTTCGGCTTTTGTGCTATCAATGCCGCAGGCCAAAGCTGTTCCGTCCAAATCAAACGAATAATTTACCGATTGCCGTATTTATGTACTTTTTTAGTGTTGGGTCGGCGTTTGTCCTCGTCGTTTCTCGCGAAACCGCAAGAGACGGTTCCCGCCTAGTTACCCGAGCAGACGACAGTGGCAACACTGGCCCGACCTTCAACGACAGTACTGGCTCCCGCGAACACAAACGCCTACGCGCGCCTACAGTTCGCACCTAGCACCGCCCGCAACCTGACATTTCACCGTCGCCGTGAGCGTTAAATCAGCGCCTCTTCTTACGAACCACTCGCAAAGTGGGGCGGTCATAAACGGCGCCTCATCGTCGC